TCAACTCTGCGGTCGCAGAGTGCATCGCAGATCGGGACTGCGGCTAGCAAAAACGGTCCCAAAAACTAGGTTGGCCTGCTCAAGTCTACGGCCGTTTTGCAGCCCGCAAAACAGTTATGCGGCCGCATAACGCACCACAAAATCTCCCTCCGAAATTCTTCATACTGGATTTGCGATGAATTGTCCGGCCCGCAAAATGATTATGTGGTTGCATAATTGACCGCAAAATTTCTTTCAAAAATTGGCCCTTTTTCTGCTCCAATACGCGGCGGGTCAGCGGTCCGCGGAGTAATTATGCGGTCGCATAATGGACCGCTGAAATACCATGCTCTGCAACAATTTTCCTTCTAATTCCCCATCGTATTGCACAACCCCAAAAGTCCATACTGCGGTGAAGATTATTTATAACCCTTAATCATGTTAGCCACCACAAAATCCCGGGCTTTAGGCAAAATTTTACGGGGTCTTACATTTATGTTAATTAGTTTATGTTAATGAGTTGAGTTGATGAACAATTATTTCATTAATTTCTGAGTTTATCAATTGTTAATTATCAGCACACTGTTATAAATTGTTAAAACTGGCTAATTAATTATTAGCTAACGTTGGCTTGCCTAGCAAGTAGATGTTAGGCGTCATCACGTCCTCACGGTTGGGATTTCGGGTGGTGATATCCGGATATCGGAAATATATGGTATTCTTTTTATTGACCTGTTTTTGCGTTCTACTGGGCTGTCTAATCCATAGTTTTGTTCTTCTTTTAGTGTTTTTCCCTACTTATTAGTAGTAGTTTTTATGGTCTTTCCAATCTTCTAGCAAATATTTTCTTTTCATATTCATGTAGAAACTTTACCAAGTTTGATTTCATCGCCAAATAATGCATTCTAAGAAATTGTGGAAGTAATGTTTTGTTAGGTTGTGGATTTTTCAATGGATTAATAAAAAGAAGAAGAAATGTTTTAGTTATCATTGTTTCTTGTTCAATGAGGTGATCTAATGCGTAAAGCTTGTTCCCTAACAAGAGGAAGAAGCCTAAAAAAATTGTGGTCAAAGGACATACTCCGGATTGCAAGTACTTGGCAATTTTATGTTCAGGTCAAAAGACCAAATTTTTCTACCGAGCACAAACGAGACTGAAAATACTCGACAGAATTCATGTCCGTTCCCCATGATATTAAGAATGAACGATGGCAGGATAGAACAAAAACTAAACAAAGCAGTGCGTATCCAATTGAAGAAATATAGGGCACGTGAACCCACCCTTCTTACAACTTAAATTGGGTTTCTCTTATAACTTTGTACAGGTTTTGCCATATTATGCAGTAGGCACCCATGCTCAAAAATTGCATTTGGTGCTTCGGTGGATGGTCCCAGACCCTATGGCCACTTTAATATTTAGTTAAATTTTCTTCTTTTTTGTCCGTTCGAATTTGTTCTATTTCTCTCTTTTGCCATTTTCTTTCATTTTTTAATTTCTTTTTCTCTCCTCACGATTAATGTCCAAGGCTTCGTGTCAAAAAATAAATTAAAAACTCAAAGTCTAATTGAGGTTTATTTTTATTTTAAACCACCATAAATTAATTTTACTATAAATAATTTATGTAATTATAAAACCTAAGTTACACTAGCTTAAATATATTCATTTCAAGCAAACCATTGAACGTTTGTCTCCAATTTTTTAATACGAAATGTACTTTTTTTCTTGGTAAGCAATTTGCATATAAATAATCAGTCAAATACTGTAAAGTTTTTTGATATTTTCGTGATTTCTTTGCACTAAAACTTGCATAAGTTTTAGTTTTTACAGTATTAAATTGTTATTAATATTCTAGTTTCCGTCTTTATTTTGAATCATGACGATAAAAACTAAATTGTACGGATTATAAACGATAATATTAATGAAAACATAAATTTATATTAATAAGAGTATAGTTTATCTCTTTGTACAATGTGCAAAATTGATAATGTGTCATAAAACATTAAACAAGTTCACATTTATTTGACATTATGATAAGCACCAATTAAGTTAAAGTCACTGGTGCACTCATAGTCTTAAGCCTACCGCACTGTAACATTTATAACAAGAGATAAGCACCGAAGTTTTCAGTTTGGTTAATGCTTCAAGTTGGAGTTAATTTTATGGGTGGTCATTTAACTTTGTCTTCATTACTCAAGTCATTTTTCTTTTTCTTTTTTTGTTACGTAAAAGTCATTCATCTTTATGTTCATTATCCAAAAGTCACTTTTCTTTCTTTTGTTACACAAATATCATTTTACTATGCTCTAGTTATCACAATAGTCACTTTGACGAAATTTTATAAAATTTTTGCCTGAAAAGTCTATTGTGCCCTTGACATTATAAATCCTCTCATTTATGTAATACTTTCTATATTATATACTATATAATATACTTTTACCCAAGTATTTTACTTATAACTAAAATAACTTAATATTATTTTATTTATTATTTTTATAATATATTCGTACACTTAATTTTTACTTAATGTTAATTTTCAAGATATATAGGTAGCATTTATTAAATTTGTTAGTAATATTACTGTGAACAAATCTCAAGTCAGTGTTCTTAACCATGTGAACTATTTTTAATGAAAATTATAAAATCAAAGCTCACTGATTTATCAGTCAAGCCATATCCGTTAATCCAATAAATAAAATACCCATATATAGCACACCGACACTGATTAAAACTTTCAAATAAATAATATTAACTGATAACGCTTTAATTTTTTTAATATTAAACACAAATATCTTTGATTTTTTTAAAAGTTTTACGGACTACAAAAAGCTACCATTTATTAAACAAATCTGTTTCTATTATTTCAAATAATTATTAAAGAATAAATATTTTTTTATCATTTTTATATTTTAACATATGTTGATGTTTGAGTATGACTAAACGAATTGAATGCCATGGAAAAATTAAATGCAAAAATATATTATTAGAATAATATAAACTTATTTTAATTATAAGTACAATAATATAAAGTTATTTTAATTATAATAAAATACCTTGATAAAAATATATTATATGATATATAATATACAAGGTATTACATAACTAGGAGGATTTATAATGTTAAGGGCATAATAGACATTTCAAGTAAAAGTATTATAAAATCTGGCCAATGTGACTTTTGTGATAACTAGAGCAAGTAAAATGATTTTTGTATAACAAAAAAAAGAAAAATAACTTTTGGGGTAATGAACACAGTGGAATGACTTTTGCATAATAAAGACAAAAAAGTAATTTTTGAGTAATGAACACAAAGTTAAATGACCACTCCTGAAATTTACTCTTCAAGTTGTCAGGTATAATCTAACTTTTTAGCTTCAGTGATTTACAATTTTTGTCTTGAAAAGAAATCAGCTTATTTTATGAGTTTGGTTCTCCTTAGAAACCTTAGGTCTTAATAGTCTTTGGTTTTGCTGTTAATCAATATTTTACTAGAAGCTCTTTAGGCGGTCTTGCGGGATAGTGTTTCTTCTTGAAACTTTTGTTGTATACTGTACAAAGTAAATGCACCACCGAAGAATATACAATCTTCGAAAATATTTACAGTGGCTATATATAATCGTAGATCTTTAACCAAGAGTCATTTTTTTTTTATTCTTTATCTTTACGTCCTTTTTTGTTCTACACTAGTGCGACGAGTTGGGACCCATCTATTTTGTGTCTTAAAATTTTGAAAATTTTCTCCGTAGTCCTACATTTCATGGAACTTTCGTCAATTAGAATAGTGCATCTTTTCACCAAAGATTCTCTATTGCTGTTTAAAAGAAAGGGCATGAAGATTTTGTGTTGTAGTTTATCGTCATCCGAGGAATGGTTAAAAAAATGCCGGCGGAAAGACTAACGCAATTATGCATGCATATTTTATTGGCAAAAGTAACTTGCGCCCAATTCCCAACCCGGTACACAACTTATACATTTTACATTTGAACACTCAAACTCTGATATTTGTTAACTAATAAACCACGTTGACCGTTGATCATGTCTATGTAGAGGCAACATAGCTGATATGGCCAAATTGTGTGCACACCACACTAAAAAAGCGCATGAATATAATACTTTGACGAAAAAGTATTAAAAACTATATAAATAATGAAAAGATAACAAAAAGAAAAAAGAAAAAACTAAAGCTTCCTCGGTTCCTCCCAGCCCACTTCGTCCTCCTTCCCCTTCCCCTTCCCCTTCCCCATCCCCATTTCCTTACTTTCATATCTCATCCCCCAGTAATCCAATTCCATCTCGTCCCCATCCCCTTTCCATTATTAATTTTTACTTGAAAAGGATTAATCTTGTTTTATTGAGTACAAGAATGCAGAAGAAGAAAGATAAAAAAGATTATCCACAGAACTCGATGTCGGCAAAAGAAAATCTCTGATAATGGTGCCGAAGAAATTTTTTTGGTCATTGCTCCTTTCTTATTCTTTCTTTAAATTTTTGTGGCAGGGGATATTGAATTGGTTATTTTTGATTTGTTTGGTCTGGGTTTGGTGGGGAGAAGGTTTAACGGAGATGGTAATTAGGGGTTTTGGGCAAAAATGGTGGCTGAAAGTTCTGAGACATTTACCAGTGACTTCTCCGGCCAACTAGAGTTTTCGGGTGGTCTATCAGTTTCTTGGATTTAGGGCTTGGTCGGAGACTTTGCCGGCAATAGCTTCTTTTACTGATGGGGAGAGAGAGGGGAGTTCAGTGTTAAAGATGACATGAAATTTTAATATATTAATTTTTAAAATGGGACCCACAAAACACATGGCAAGTAATAAATACTCTAGCATATGATGTGTTGACATGTCACAGTAATTGATATACACGTTCTGTTGGATATATTTCTTAGTACTCATTTTGTCCAGTTGAAGTGTTCAAATGGAAAATGTATAAGTTTGCGTACCGGGTTGGGAATTGGGCGCAAGTTTAAGTGGCCACGGGGCCATTTTGCTTATTGTATTATAAGCTCACAATGTTACAAGTTTAATCAACAGTCCACATCAAGCCCTAGAAGAATTAAGTCAACTATAATACTGTAGTCTCGGCGACATAAAGGGCAATGCATACCACCACATGATATCCATTCACGGATACAATCATGATGAAATCTGTGATCGCAAGAAGAAAGAACTCGTAGGAGTTCTCCTTCTTCAAAGTCGATCAAGCATATACTACATTGCTCAGCACTCTCCCCAGAAAATGAAGTCAAGGGAAATGCGCTGGCAATGACATTGGGGTCAGCTAAATGCCTCTCCACAAAAACAGTCTGTGTAGAAGCATTCGGCGACTCTACAGGAGCTTGCGGCAACTCTGCGGGAGCATCCTGCATCTCTATCTCTATACTATCATTCGCTATTTCTGGGTGGTGACAAGGAAAGCACAAGCAATAAATACAAATAATTGAGATAAAAATTATTAAAAAACCACCACCAAAGTAAATTAAGTCCCATGGCAGTGTTGTTGGCTCTGACCACCTTGTCCTCGGCAAATTTTGAGCATCGATACGATGGCCGAAAGTGAGAGCTAGCACTACCTATTTGAGGACCAAAATGACATTATTATTAAAGCACGAAGTTGGAAGAATTACAAAGGAGAAAAAACAAGAAGTAATTTAGTATAAAAACATCACCAAATAGGCATTATTATTAAAGTGAAATTTGTGATTAAGAACTATAACAACTCCATAGGTCATTTTAAGTTCTAACTTTCTCTTTTGTGATTTGAGACCTTGGATAGCTTCATTGATGATTTATGGCTTGTGTACGTGGTTCGTTTTGATTTTCGAAAATTTTAGATGTGTTTTCACAAAGAAATCTTGATTTTTGAACTTTAAAGTTATTGGAATTGACCATAGTCAACATTCTTCATAAACAAGCTCGGATCGGTATTTTGACGATTCCCGTAGGTTCGTATGATGATTTTTGTGATGACCCAAAATGTCATCTTTAAATTTAATAAATAATTCTGTATTCTAAAACCTTAAAAACCACTATTTATCACTCCTCGACTTGCGTGCTTCCGAAAAGTTTTAATGTGAAAAATGGATTAAAATATGAAATAGAGCCTTAGAACTCAACTTAGTTGACTTTGGTCAACATTTTGAGCAAACGGATCAGTGTTTTGACAGTTCTGGTGGGTCCGTATCGTAATTTGGGACTTGAGCATTTTCCTGGAATTTAATTTGGAGGTCCCTAGCTCAAATTATGACCATTTAACGGAAATTAGTAATTTAAAGGCTAAAGATTTCTAAGTTTGACCACGGGGTTGACTTTTTGATATCGGAGCCGGAATCCGATTCTGAAAATTTGAGTAGCTCTGTTATGTCATTTAGGACTTGTGTGCCAAATATGAAGTCATTTCGGATTCATTTAATATGTTTTGGCACGAAATTTGTAAATTGAAAAGTTTAAAACTCAAAGTTCGAATCGGGGTGTGAATTGTAATTTCAGCGTTGTTTGACGTGATATTAGACCCCGAGTAAGTCCGTATTATGTTACGGGACTTGTTGATATATTCGGACGGGATCCCGAGTACCCCGAGTGTGATTTGGATCGAAATCGGATCAAATTATAAACTTAAGTATTTTTTGGAAATTTCTGCTTCTTATGTATTCGCATCTGCGAGGGTCTTGGCCGCAGGTGCGGCGGAATTTCGCAAATGCGGGACTGGGCTGTCCTGGGGTCTTCGCAAGTGCGGCCATATTTGCGCAAAAGCACGATCGCAGATGCAGTCCTAAGTTCCGCAGATGCGGACACACGCTGGCAACCCCATTTCGCAGATGAGAGATTTTTCTCGCAAGTGCGAGCCCAAGCACCGCAAGTGCGGAAATGCCTGAGTAGTGTTATAAATCGAAGAGTCGGAGATCTTTACACATTTTGGTCATTTTGAGCTCGGGTAAGGTGAATATTTGGGCGATTTTACGGGGAAAAATTCGGGTAAGTGTTCCTTATCCCATACTCATTTATATCATGAATTCGTGAATTTATGGAAGAAAAATTAGATTTTTATAAAATATTCTAAAAACCGAAAAGTTAAGATTTGAACGTCCATTTGACATCGGAATTTGATAATTTTTGTATGGTTGGACTCGTCTCGGAATGGGAATTCGGATTTCATAAGTTTTTTTGAGATTTGAGACGTGGGTCCCAGTGTCGAATATTTAAATGAATTTCAGATTTTTATCTGGAAAATTAGTAAATTCATATGGAATTAATTCCTATGATTCCTATCTAGTATATCGAATTGTTTGTGAATAGATTTGACGCTTTTGGAGACAAATTCAAAAGAAAAAGCTATGGTCGAGTAATTAATTGAAAATTATCACAGCGAGGTAAGTGTCGTGGTTAACCTTGACTTGAGGGAATAGAACCCTTAAATTATTTGTTATGTGAAATGCATGTGAACGACGTATAGGCGAGGTGGCGAGTGTCTATACGTCGTCAAAATTAATTGTTTGCATAATTATTTAAAAATCATAAATTATTCTAAGATACGAATTAGTTGTTATAACAATTGTTTTTCTCCTATTCTTGTTACATGCTATTTGATTTATATGTCTTAATTGTTTGCATAATTATTTAAAAATCATAAATTGTTCTAAGATACGAATTAGTTGTTATAACAATTGTTTCTCTCCTATTCTTGTTACATGCTATTTGATTTATATGCCTTAATTGTTATTTGACATCTAGCATACTAAATATTAAACTGTCTATTTTCTCCACGATTTTCACAATTAATTTCTAATTGCCATTGTTTGTTCATAAATAAATTATAATTATTGTTTGCCATGATGCTTAATAGTTTCTCATTGGACGTGGTAATTATTGGAGTAATTTTTATTACATTTAAGAGTTGTTTAAAGTTATATTGGGGGATCGGATTGCACGCCGCAACAGACTTATTTAAAAGTCTATATTGGGGGATCGGATTGCACGCCGCAACAGACTTATTTAAAAGTCTATATTGGGGGATCAGATTTCACGCCGTAACAAACTTGTTTAAAAGTCTATATTGGGGGATTGGATTGCACGCCGCAACAGACTTGTTCAAAAGTCTATATTGGGGGATCGGATTGCACGTCGCAACAGACTTATTTAAAAGTCTATATTGGGGGATCGGATTGATGCCGCAACAGACTTGTTTAAAAGTCTATATTGGGGGATCGGATTACACGCTGCAACAGACTTATTTAAAAGTCTATATTGGGGGATCGGATTGATGCCGCAACAGACTTGTTGGATCAGATTGCACGCCGCAACAGACTTATTTAAAAGTCTATATTGAGGGATCGGATTGCACGCCGCAACAGACTTATTTAAAAGTCTACATATACTTGATTAAAAAAATATATGGGAGGATTGAAAATGAATATGTTGTGTGAGCTGGCTGCACGCTGCAACGGAAATTGATTGAAATAATAATTGGTTATGATTGTTGAGATGGATTCAACTATTAAAAATGAGTTACCTGATTTATTTCTATTACTGTTGTTGTTACTACTATTGCATACAGGTTAATGTGAGTGACCTGTCTTAGCCTCGTCACTACTTCGTCGAGGTTAGGCTCGGCACTTACCAGTACATGGGGTCGGTTGTACTGATACTACACTTTGCACTTCTTGTGCAGATTTCAGAGTTGGTCCCAGCGGCGTACCATAGACTTGCTCGGATTTGAGCTACCAGAGGAGACTTGAGGTATAACTGCAAGGCGTCCGCAGTTCTGAAGTCCCTGTCTACTTTACTTTAGTTGTGTGTTTATTTCTAGACAGCTTTATTTTATTCATACCTTTATTTGTATTATTCTAGAAGCTCGTGCACTTGTGACACCAATTCTTGGATGGTATTTAGACACCGTTATTTGTATGGATTAATCACTACATTTTAGACCTTACTTCCGCATTTGTTTCTATTATTATTAATAAATTTAAAAATTATTTTAAAATAGATTATATTATTCTAACGTTGGCTTGCCTAGCAAGTAAAATATTAGGCGTCATCACGGTCCCGAAGGTGAGAATTTTTGGTGACAGTTGGTATCAGAGCACTAGGTTACATAGGTCTCAAGAGTCACGAGCAAGTTTAGTAGAGTCTGAAGGATTGATACGGAGATGGCTGTACTTATCTCTCATAGGCTATGAAGTTTAGGGACAATATCACTCCTTTCTTATTCTGTCGTGCGAATTTATTCTATCATCAATGATTGAACCATTCTACTCTTATTCTCTTACAGATGGTGAGAACACGTAATAGATCTACTGATGGACAAGGACCATAGCCCCCGATGGCAATATGGCCAGGGGTCGAGGTCGAGGTCGAGGTCGTGCTAGAGGACGAGGTAGAGCTCAGTCTAGAGCTTGAGCAACTGCACCTGTTGCAGAACTTCAGGCGGGCCTTCAAGAGGAGGTTCCAGTTCAGAATGTACCAGTTGGACCAATTTAGGTCCCAGAATAGCTACTCTAGTGTTATAGGACGCTCTAGTCCGTTTGGTGAGTCTTATGGAGGGCGTGGTCCAGAATGGTACATTTCCAATGGCACTAGCCATTTCATAGGCTGGGGAGGAGCACAAACTCCCACTACTCCCGCTCCGGAGCATATGGTTTCCCAGAATTAGGCTCCAGCAGCCCCGCCAGTTGTTGCGGCACAGACTGGTGATAGGCCCGCCATGTTTTTTGAGGCCTTAATGAGGATGGATAAGTTTACCAAGCTCTTTCCAGTTCACTTCAGTGGTACACCTTCTGAGGACCCACATGATTATCTTGACCGCTGCCACGAGGTGCTGCGGAACATGGGTATAGTTAAGACCAATGTGGTTGATTTTGCTGTATTTCAGATGACGGATTCCGCCAAGAGGTGGTGGAGAGATTATACATTGACCAGACCAGTTGGATCACCTGCACTTACCTGGGATCAGTTCTCTCAGCTATTTCTGGAGAAATTCCTTCCTATCACACTGAGGGAGGATTATCGAAAGCAATTTGAGCATTTACAATAGGGCAGTATGACTGTTACTCAGTATGAGTCCCATTTTGTGGATTTGGCTCATCATGCTCTCTATTTACTACCTAGTGAGGGAAAGAGAGTGAGGAGGTTTATTGAGGGACTCACTCACCCTATCAGGCTTCAGATGGCCAAGAAGATCGGAAGTGAGATTTCGTTTCAGGCGGTTGCTAATGTCGTGAGGAGGATCAAGATAGTTCTTGCACATGAGAGAGGGCAGAGGTGTGATAAGACGCCTTGTTCTAGCACCAATTGCCACACCGCCTACCCAGTCAGGTAGAGGTGTGGGTCATCTGGCTAGAGGTGGAGGTAAATTAGGGAGAGGTCATCC